GATTATGTATCTGCACAAGAAGAACTTGACTCTTTTGACAAGGAACCTGAATATTATGAAGAGGCTATTATCTCTAAGGACTTGCAGTCATGCAAGATGAGATAAGTTCTCTATATAAAAATAAAATCTGGAACTTAGTAGTTAAACCTAAAGACTACAAACTAATTGATTGTAAATGAGTTTATAAGTTCAAAGAGGGAGAATATAAATCAAATGACAAAAGATACAAGACAAGGCTTATAGCTAAAGGGTTTACATAGTAAGAGGGTATAGACCACGCAGAAATATTTTCACCTATAGTCAAATATATTTCCATCAAGATATTGCTTGCACTTGTAGCACAATTTGACCTAAAGCTAAAGCAATTAGACGTGAAAACTGCATTTCTATATGGCTCTTTAAATGAAACAATATATATGTCACAACCAAAAGGTTTTGATGTCAAAGATAAAGAACACGTAGTATGTTTGTTAAATAAGTCTTTATATCGCCTAAAACAGACCCAAGACAATGGTATAAAAGATTTGGTTCTTTTATACAAGGATTAAAGTTCAAAAAATCTAAGTATGATCCCTGTTTTTATTTCAAAAGAAATGGAAAATCTGAATTATTTTATCTACTTTTGTATGTAGATATACTCCTAACTGGTCATGATTCTGATACGTTGAACTCTGTAAAAGAAAAATTAAAGTCTGAATTTGAGATGAAAGATTTAGGACCTGCTTAGAAAATTTTAGGAATGGAAATAAAAAGAGACATACCTAATGGAGAATTGTTTTTAACTCAAAAAGGCTATATTGAAAAGGATGTTAAACGATTTTCTTTGCATGAAGCCAAACCTGTTAGTTTACCTTTGTCTGCAAATGTAAAATTGTCCATTGATTAATCACCTAAAATGAAATTGAATTTAAAAGAATGTTGCATGTGCCATATGCTAATGCAATTGGATCTGTTATGTATATTATGGTATTTTCTAGGCTTGACATAGCCTATGTTGTGAGTGTACAAAGTAGATTTATGAGCATCACAGATGAACTTCATTGGGAAACTATGAAAAATTTAATCAAATATTTGAAAGGCACACTGAACCTAGGACTTATGTTCAAAACTAATAAAAATGGTTTAAAATTGAAAGGCTATGTGGACTCTAATTTTGCTAAAAATTTTGATAATATGAAGTCTACTACTGCATATTTTTATGTGATTAATGATACTTGCATTAGTTGGAAAGCTCAACTTCAGAAACTTGTGGCCTAATCTTCTACTAAGGTAGAGTACATTACTGCTATAGAGGCAGTAAAAGAAGGAATATGGTTAATGTGTCTCATAAATGAATTAGATATTATAGGAAATCAAGTGGAGCTGTGTTCTGATAATTAGAGTGTCATTTTCTTAAGTAGAAATCATGTTTTTCATGACATAACAAAATATATAGATGTTAAGTTTCATTTCATTAGGGATATTGTTGAATAATGTGATATAAAATTAGTTAAAATTCCCACTAAGATTAATCCAGCAGATTTAGGTACAAAGGTAATACCTCTTAGTAAATTTTTTATTCTTTAAGATTATTAAATCTTGAAGTTTACTAACTTTTATTTTTATTAACAGATAATAAGAGCAACTGAAATTAGTTTTACGTTAGAGATTGTAAAGGCTTGGGTTGTTGAAATTCTTGAGTCCAGTTGTTGATTGATAATTTAAGTGATAGCCCAGCCCATGATCGGTCCATTTAACTGAAGGTTCTAGAATTGCTAAAAAAATTGTGTTTTGGAAACACAACTTTACTTCTGAAAGGTGTCCTATGCTTGATTTCTTACACTTGGCATTTGGACAACCGTTGGATCATTTACTGGACCTATCTCTTATAAATAGCAATGTTAACTCTAGGGTTGAGAGACTTTCCGAACCCTAATCTCTTGTGTTGACTGCCGTTTCCTCTCCTGTACTCTCTTTATCTTCTGGATGAATTTCTTGTAATTTCTGAGTGAAATCTTGTAGTAGTGATCTCTTGGCGAGATTGAGTGTAATTTTCTGAGGACTTTTGTGGTTTTAAACAGCAAAACACTTGTATTATTTCTGTAACTTGGTTTTGCTCCTTTTTGGGACTGTAATAGTGGATTTGATCATAATCTTAACGGATGCTCAACAGGGGATGTAGCGTTGGATTTGATTGTCAAACCTTCGGGGCCTTGGATCGAAAACTCTTCTTGTTCTTTATTTTCTTGCCATTTACGATTTATGTTTTCTTTAAATCTAGTTAAGTCACAAAAGGGTTTGTTTTATTTGGGACCTGCAGCGCCTCGGTCATTCCAGAGCATGAATCACGAGGCCCCAGAGTGATAGCAAAGTACAAGTATACAATGCAGAGAAATGCTAAGAGCGCTAGAGAAGTTAGAAGGAATCGATTTCGCTAATGAACAGTTGAATAGCTTCCTAATTCATCTCTCCGGGAAAGAAAGCATTCTGTCTTTTACGTCCTATGAAGTTATTATATAACGACGTGCTGCTTCCCTGTCTGAATGTTTGCACATCTTTAACATGATCAAATTAGTTTTAAAAGCTTCAATTCAACTTAACTTCCATGAATAGATCCAGGATTGGATCCAAAATCGGACTAAAAAATTTCAAATCGGACTAATACGTGAAAAAAATTTACACATAAAAAATTAATTTTTTATAAATAAAAAAATACCCTGAAAAGACTTCTTAGCCCTATTGGGGGGGGGGGGGGGAAAAGCCCAGTCGCCCCTTATCCTCTGCTCAAACTCTAACAGAGTACAAGTTATATTTCAACCATGCAAAAATTAAGAACATGCATAATATATAATAGCATTTGACATTTTACGGCCAATATTGACACACTCGGCATAAAAAAGGTAAAGAGGAGCAATACTTTGCAGCGAGACATAAGGCACTAATCCTAGAATCTGCAAACGGCTTAAAAAAGGAAAATATCGAACAATGGACGGACGACAACAGTAAACAGGTTATGAGTTCGAAGAATGGCCACATCAGTTCTGTCATGAACCGTGTACCTAATTTAGGAATAAACATGATGTGTGATAGGAATATAAAGTCTAGAATTATTTCCTAATTAGAGAGGATTATTTTCCTTTTGAGAAATATCCTCTTCATGTATATATATGTGTGTTCCTGTTGGTGAATTGAATAAGAAATTGAGATTCTTCCAAGTCAATTAACAAGTTCCATCGCCGCATTTTTCTTTTTAGTGATCCCATTACATGTATTATATGTTATAGATAGCAGTAGTTCAAATTCTTATATATTTATCATTTATTTTATATTTATTCGACGTGATATTTATCCTTTAACAGGTTTGACAAAATAAGAGTTCATTTGAGAACATAATCTTGAAATTCATGTGCTTGTTTTTAAAAGGGATAACCCAAGCTCCTATGTGTTATCATGCTCGGTAAGCTGATGGCTCATTTAAGCTTAATAAACTCTGATAGCATATTAAAATTTGGAGCTCCACCGTAAAATGTCAATTTTATAAAAAATGAGTAATCCAAACCATTGTTGATTATTTATTTTATGTGTATTCGATATAGAATTTATTCTTTAACATGAACAAATTTATGATATTCAGATAACAATATTTCGTTGGGCTTGAATCCAAAAATTAGTACTATGAGTTCTTAGTTTATTTATGCAATCGATAGTTCTAATAATCATAATTAAGAAGCACGCATAAGATCAATCCTATAATTACAAAAACGCTAAATTAACTCTTAAGTCTCGACAATGCCCCCCATTGACCGGTTGATAATGATGCCTTTCTTTTAAGTTCAAGCTATTAAAAATAGGTGATTTCACGTTTTTGTCCCCGATAGTTAGGAAGATTAACATTAACTATGGCTTTGATCATTTTATTATTTAAATTGATTTGAATTAAAGTTCAAGAAAATGATCTATGCAATCTAATAATAATCATAATAAGAAGCACTAAATAAATTGCTGCAATAATTAAGCAAACACTAACAAATTCTTAAATACTCCCACTAACATGGTGACGACCTCGCCTTTTTTAGGGTGAAGCTAGTAGAATGGAACGTGTATAATATTGTGATCGTATGGTTGACATATGGACGAAACATCATTGTGGTACACAAAAATAACAAACTGGGCACATCACAACACACGAAAGCAACAATACGGATATACGAAGGCATTAACGTGAGCACATCATGGCACACGAAAATAGCAACACAGTCATATGGTGTCACACTAAGACAACAACACAGAAACATAATCTCAGAAAAAATGAATAAAATATATAAATTGAACGAAATTTTGGAGAAAATTTACAATAAAAACACAAAGTTAACACATATTTGTTCACACACTACGTAATTAACACTAAGAACATACAGTTTTTATTGATTCATTCTCAATGCTAAGTTACATTTGACTCGCATATTTATTTTTTCTCTACATTTGAGAGTGACTACCTAAATAAATAAATTAGAGTCATCTATTGCCTGTGTAAATGGTTAAATATACCTTTACAATAATGTCAATTCCTTGTTTGGTAGAAATTAAAATTAAAATTTTAATCTAAATTAAAATTAACAACAAATTTAAATAATATATTTTATGGTATACATGACTTTTCAACCACACATCTTATTAATTTTTATCAAAATCTATTAAAAATCTAATTTTAATTCTCACCGAACAGGAATTAAGTTCGGTCGGGTAAGATTTAAAAATTTAGATTTAAGAGGGTGTATTCAATTGAGACTTTTGAAGACTTTGAAGAACTTTTTGTAAGTGATGATTTTTATGGATTTCATGGATATTTTAAAATCAACAATTAATTATAATCTATAACTTTTCAATTACATATTTCATCAATTATATCCAAATTTAAGTTTTTATCTCCATCAAATGGTGGTAAAAATATCTTCTCGAAAGCTCCATACCTTTAAAATTCCTCTCTAACTTAAAAGGGTCAATTGATTAAAAATTTCTCGGCGTGACACATTCATAAATCATAAATAGAAAAGCAGAAAAGAGCGGCCGAAGACATCACAGGTGGCGGGGTTTCACATAAAGCCAAACGCTCCCTCCGCCACCTTCGGCCATGTTGGCGGTAAACCGCTAACGCCGCCCCCTCTCTTTCTCTCGCTATCACGAGAAAGCCGAGTAAGCAAACCCGACGTCATCATCATTGCCTTCTTCTCACTCAACACCTCATACGCATATACTTATTGTAAGTATATCTGTGTCTATACATTTTTTTTTTCCAGGTTGCTTCATAATTTTGATCTTTCGCTTTTTATTTTCGGTTTTTCTATTTTGATGCACACTCAGTGAATGTAAGCTCATTACTTTGTTATGCGTTTGAAATCGCTGCAATCAAACAGAAAAAGAAAAATTGAATCAGAAGTTGAATTCTGCATTGTTTCTTTTGTGAGCAGGGGATTCGAAATTTTGCATAAAATTTGGATATTTAAAATTTAGATTCTGTAAGGGAGTATTGAGGATTGAGTATAATGGAAAAGGAGAAGAAGAAGTATCCTATAGGAGCAGAGCATTATACTCTGTATGAGGAGATCGGGACGGGTGCCAGCGCCTTGGTTCATCGAGCTCTCTGTAATCCTCTCAATGAGATTGTTGCAATCAAAATTCTCGACTTTGAACGTGGCAACTGTGATCTGGTAATTCCCTTGTTCTAAAAATTTCAGCCAAGAGGTTCGAATGTTGCCCAGTGAAATAATTTTTCACATGTACCCATTATTTTTCCCTACTTTTTAACTACACATTCTCCAAAAATATCAGAAAAAATTTATTCTCAAAAAATCTACATCAAACATGCCCATTGTATGAAATTTTTATTGTTGTGCTTGTTCAATATTTGATGTATTTGAACAAAATTGGGAATATTGTTTCTTAGGATTTTTCAGAGTAAGATCCATGTCTAGAATACGAATATAGTATGTATGAAGAAGATTATATTTAGCCATTTTCGTTAGCTGAAATATGTAGTATTGCTTGTTAGTTATTCTGCATAATCACTCGCATAAACAGATTGACTCGCGATTAAGTGCATGTATGTGCAGCAAGGGTGAAGGTTGTTTTTACATGTGAAACCAGTTCAAGAACGAATCACTATTATTTTTGTTTGCTAGCTTGAAATGACGGTTTAAGAGCTTTGAAATACATGCAAATTTAAATTGGTTTTTATGAACACGTAATCGTGATAATATTTTGATTATATTTGAGATCTCAAAACCATTTATTGTCTCAACCATTGATAGCCTAAAGCAAAAAGATGGTATGTACCAGAGTTTAAGAACATTAAATGAAGTGGCCACCTAGTGCTTGGCCATGAATTAGTAAAAAAGAAATCTCGAAGAATTATTTTCTACTCCGTTATTTTTGGAAATCAATTATCTTATCTCTGTTTGGAAAAAAAGCTATGTTGGCCCAAGTTAATAGTAGCTCACAATGTTAACTTTCCAGAAAGTGAAAAAGTGTGAAGGTACCTTATTTGTCAACAATTTATCAACAGTTACATTTTTAGAGCATCTCCAAGAGGCTCTTTAAAAGTGATTTTTTTTTTTTTTTTTTTTTAAAGAGTCAAACTTTGAAATTAGGTTTCAAGAGAAATAAAGAGTGGATTTTGCCCTCTACATTTTGGGAGCCAAACTTACTCTTTATTTGTATCTTACCGAGATTGCCGTTAATAAAATTGCAAGTTTCAATGCTCCACTACTTAAATTATTAATATTATATACATTGAATATTTTAGTTATTGACATCTAAAACATATACATATTAATTGAAAAATAAGGGAAAAATAAATGAATGTTGGGAAAAGTAAAATAAAGAGCAAAAATAAGGAGTTTGTTGGAGTGTATTATTCTCTTTAAAATTAAAGATACTCTTATTGAAACCATGCTATTTAAAAATAGTCTTGGAGATGCTTTTACATTGTAATCAATTACAAGTTTTACTATGTTGCTCAAGTAGGTTCCTTTCTTAACAAGCATCTGTTTTTTTATATATATGTTACTAGCTTTCATCTGGAATCTTGTTACTATTTTAATTTTGATTGAATATCATATAATCCTAGATAGAAGTCATTCTGTAGGAAACCATTGTGGTATGATTACTTTCTTTGCCCTTGAAATATTATTGTTTTGGTTTATTCTGTGGTTCTTCTTATCCTGGACAACAAAATAAACTACTACTTCTGACTGGTTCTTGCATTTTACCCCTAGAATAACATTTCAAGGGAAGCACAAACGATGGTTCTGGTTGACCACCCCAATGTTCTTAGATCACACTGTTCCTTCGTTATAGATCATAATTTATGGGTTGTAATGCCTTACATGGCTGGAGGTTCTTGTCTACACATATTGAAGGCCTCACATCCAGATGGTTTCGAGGAGGTTGTCATTGCTACAGTTTTGCGTGAGGTGTTGAAGGGATTGGAATATCTTCATCAACATGGTCACATTCATCGGGATGTTAAAGTGAGTGGTTAACTTTTATATAGATGCCTACAGCGTGCTTTGCAGTTATTGCTGTTAACGTGTGTATATACTACACACTACACACACACACACACACACACACGTTAAGAATCCTTTCCTCAGTTGTCTTGCAACACATCATTTATTGTGCAGCCAAATTACAAATCATTGTTGCAGACTTGCAGTGTATACCTGCTAACATCATATTGATCTTTTCTTGGGAAATTAACTAATCCCTTAACAAACTTCATAATAGTTCTGAAGCTTCTAAAAGAAATACGGTTGGTTCAAAGAAATCCCTAAAGTTATGGATAGCGTACCTTTAAAAAAAAACAAGTTATGGATACTTGGATAGTGTACCACCTAGATAATATAAATATACTTTATAGAGAGTGTTCATAATGAAACATATATTTAGGTTACGGCATAGGACTAATCTCAATGTTTTGATCATAGGCATGGCTTTTGAGCTCCTTTATTGTTTCCCGTTTTGAACACCAAAGCTTCAACATGATTTTCTTCTCATTTATCAAACAAAAAGAGCTTTTGGTTTGCATTAAGAAGCATCTTCTCTCCATTCTGTTGGAGTTTTCTTTTTGCCAGATTTCAAACACTTTGGCTTATTTACATATAAAATATTTGCTCATAAAATTTGATTACCTATTGAGTTGCCTGAAATACTCATGCCCATCAGATCTTAGAATACTCATTTCCATCCGAACTTACTAGAGTAGCAGTCTATTCCAAATTTTTTGAAGTTGAACTTTCAAAACTGATAATCCTTTTAATTATTGTGAAATTGGAATATAGTAATTTACACATAGCAATATCAAAATAGCGTCCCTGCTAGTTGACTAGATGGCCTCCGAAGGAAGTTTTAATTATTCCAGGAATTGTTTTCTTGAGTCCACTTAATAAAGCTATATGCAACTTAGTAAATTTAACCTTTCAGGCAGTTGTAATTTCCCCTTCCCATTACTTTACTTTTTGATATGGATATGACGAGGTAAAAGTGCCATTGAACTCATTTCAGTGAATTGAAGTTATATGTAGAAGAGAAGTGACAATAGTTCACCAGAAAGTTTTAAATTTTCTACTAGAAATACAAGGAAAATACATTATCTGCACTGATATCATATAAGGTTAAGTTTTTTTATTTTCTTATAGTAATAGAGTTTGATATAGATACTGAGAATAAACAATAACATCAATTAGCACTCAACCTTCACTGAAGGGGAGCTTTTTCCAATACCTTAATAGTAAAATAACATCAGGGTACTGGCACATGTTTTAGGATAGAGCATAAAGATCTATTTCACACTCATCATCTTAACTTTGGACAACATTTCTTTCAGGCTGGAAATATTCTCATTGATACCCATGGTGGAATCAAACTGGGTGATTTTGGTGTTTCTGCATGCTTATTTGATTCAGGTGACAGACATCGCATGAGGAATACATTCGTGGGGACTCCTTGCTGGTATAAATCAAACCAGTAAATGTATACAGATTTAACTGTTACTTGAGCACTTGTTTCTCCTTGTGTGGTTGATCATCTATCGGAATTCAATTTCTTTTTGTCTGTCCTTTATGACTAGAAACATAGCAAACGACAAATATGTCCATTATGCTTTAACTTATTCCATAAAGATTATGGAGAAACCCAAATGTTAATAACATGTTGATCTTGCTTCTGGAGTGTTGGCTTCATCCATCTCTTGTCAGTCTGTTCCCTGTAATAGGAGCATATTTTTGGTTTTGCAGGATGGCACCGGAGGTTATGGAGCAATTGCATGGTTATGATTTCAAGTTTGTCTACACGCTGCTTTCATTTGTCTACTCTTGTTATCCTGATTGAATGTTACATGTAGTTGAGTTAGTTGTTTTGCTATTTTACAGAGCAGATATTTGGTCTTTTGGTATAACCGCTTTGGAGCTTGCACATGGCCATGCACCTTTTTCAAAATATCCTCCAATGAAGGTGGTTGTTGATATAATGACCCCTTTTCTGGTTTTATGGAAGCCTATTACTTTTTCAGGATCCACATAGTATGTTGCATATTTTACCTTTGCAGGTACTGCTTATGACCTTGCAAAACGCTCCACCTGGTCTTGATTATGAGAGAGACAAAAAGTTTTCTAAGGTATTATGTAACAATCATTAATTGATTAATGATTGTAAGTCATACTTTTGACATGCCTTCTCTCTATGTTTGCTCTCTGCAGTCTTTTAAGCAGATGATTGCTAGTTGTTTGGTGAAAGATCC